TCAGGTATTCTCTCATCCAGTGAAGTGCCCTTCCCGTTATACGCACCTGATCCTCTAGCTTCTGCACTAATCTCTTGTAAGGAACTGTGCCGAAGGTCTTCTTGCAGTCCAAGAAGATGCAATCAACCCACCCCTCTCTCTCATCTCTTACTTCTGTTACTTTATCATAAAGCTCCAGGTTTGTGACACAGGATTTGCCTTCCATGAAACCGTGCTGGTTGTCATTTATACTTGTGTTCCGTTCCAGGTGCTCCACCACTCTCCTCCTGATAATCTTCTCCATGACTTTGCATACTATACACGTCAGTGATACTGGTCTGTAGTTTAGCGCCTCTCTTCTGTCTCCTTTTTTAAAAATGGGAACTACATTTGCCGTCTTCCATACGTCGGGTAGTTGCCCAGTTTCAAGGGATGTGTTGAAGATTGTGGTTAATGGGACATATAGCATTTCTGCTCCCATCGTCTGCTTCACATCGCCTGTGAACAGGGACACCTCTGAGTCTATCCCTTCTGTCATGTCCTTCACATATACTATAAACAGTACCAAACCTAGAACTGATCCTTGTGGAACCCCACTCAACACATTCACCCACTATGACAACTCGTCACATACTAACACTAGTTGTTTCTTTCCTGTCATGTATTCCCTGATTCACTGCAGTACTTTCCCTGTTATTCCTGCCTGCTCCTCTAGCTTTTCAACCAGTCTCTTCTGTGGTACTGTATCGAAAGCCTTCTTACAGTCCAAGAAGATGCAGTCCACCCATCCCTCTCTCTCCTGTCACCTTATCGTAGAACTCCAATAGATTTTAAAAATTGGGACTACGTTTGTTGTCTTCCACATCTCAGGCAGTTGTGTGTGTGTGTGTGTGTGTGTGTGTGTGTGTGTGTACTCACCTAATTGTGATTGCAGGGGTTGAATCATAGCTCCTCGCCCCGCCTCTTCACTGGTCGCTACGCGCGCGCGTGTGTGTGTGTGTGTGTGTTGGAGGGAGGGGCTCATAACACACGTGACTCGTGGATATGCTCACCACATAAACCAAGAATGTTTATTTTCATCATATATGCATATATGTATGTACGTACGTATGTATGTATGTATGTATGGATGTATGTATGTATGTATGTATGTATGTATGTATGCATGTATGTATGTATGTATGTATGTATGTATGTATGTATGTATGTATGTATGTATGTATGTATGTATTAATGTATGCATGTATGTATGCATGTATGTATGTATGTATGTATGTATGTATGTATGTATGTATTAATGTATGCATGTATGTATGTATATATGTATGTATGCATATACATATACTACATGGAGACAATCGCAGGAGAACATCTGTTTGTATATTTTGACTTCGGTTTAGATTCCTCTTCGGTAAATATAATAAAATTAGTGAAAAGACATCTTATATAGAGGAGGAGGTCAGGTGAAGCTGGAGTGATGTTGTTAATTATGGGGGAGGAGCTTAGCTGGAGTTGTATGACATCTAGGAGTGGAGTAGTTTACCTGGAGTTAAGATTCACTAGTATGGAGGAAGACAGTCTTGTTAGGTTATCTTCTACCTACTACGCATCTTTTTATCTGCATGACCAAACCATCTGAGTAACCACCTTTCTCCTCCTTGATAATTAAGACATGTGCAACAGTCAGGTATCTTTATTCCGAAACGTTTCGCCTACACAGTAGGCTTCTTCAGTAGAGTACAGAGAAAGCGGCAGTAGCAGAAGAGATGTGAAGATGATGTAATCAGTCCATTTCCCTTGAAGACGTAGTTTTGAGGTGGTCAGTCCCTCAGCCTGGAGCAAAACTTTTCTCCACGCTGATGGACTGACTACCTCTTCAAGGGTGGTGGACTGATTACATTATCTTCACATCTCTTCTGCTACTGCTGCCTCCACTGTACTTGACTGAAGAAGCCTACTGTGTAGACGAAACGTCTCGGAATAAAGATACCTGACTGTTGTACATGTGTCTTACTTATCAACTTATCAGTATTATATACCATTATCATATTCACTGTTCTCCTCTCTGAAATATAACTTTCATTCAGTTTTTCACTCCTTATTTTCTACATAACATTCCCATCACTAACCTCGGAACCGAAATCTTCACTTCCTCTAACAACTCTGATAATATTCAAAGACACTGTTTCACACCCATTCAAAAGTATTGGTATCGGTATCAACATACTTTAATACAGCGAGCTTCTGGCATTCACCAAAAACTTCTTTTTATTCCAGAGATTCCTCAACTCTACTTTCTATCCTTCATTTAGTCTGTGATTCACGTCCATACTCCTTCCTTCCAATCTGACCTCCAACCTTTAATTCCCTACATTTCTTGATTGCCTCACCATCCTCTGTTCTGTTTACTTTCAAATTCCTTCTTTTACGTACCCTCCCACACATTCATCAACCTGCAGCCTGTAATAATCTTGGTAAAATTACCTACAATATGTTTCGCTTTCCTAGAGAGCGAAACATTGCCACAATAAACTGTCGTATTAGTTGCATTTGTGTCCTTTTACCTAACAACCTGCAGCTTCACCTCTGAGTCTTCCAATAGCACTGTTTAATCAACCAAAAAAGCAACCGTAACTTTCTATATTGGATCTATTATTTTTAAGACCACATCTATTCCAAACACTTGAGAACTACTTCTTGTACAACCTCATCTATAACACATTCAACAACCATTGTGTCATCAAACATCCCTGTATAAGAGCAACGTTTACTGCATCATCATCATCACTCCATGATAAGTATTTACAGATTTCAGACACCTACTACCTATTATATACATCTGCATCACTTGCCACGTCACTCCCCATCCACTCAATCGTATGCTTTTCCGATTCCATAAATGCAATAACTATTTTCCCCTTATCTCTTAAATACTTCATTGCAAACACTTGATCCACATATCCCCTTTCTTTATGAAATCCATCTTGCTCTTCAGCAATCATACGCTCAGTCTTCCCCACCAACCACTCTTTCCATAATAATTCCCTTATACAATTTACCCGGTATATTCAGCAGATTTATACCCCTATAGCTCTTACACTCTCTTGTCTCTCTTTCCCCTTGTACAAAGGAACTATTCATCGTCTCTGTCAATCCTTAGTTACCCACACTACTTTCACACATTTATCCTCACCTGCTTTCAGCATCTCAAGTCTAAATCCCATCCACTGCCGAGGTCTTTTCGCAGATACAACCTATTTATGTCTCGCCCACTTTCCCTACTCCCAGCTCTTCCTTCCTAACAAATGTCATTCCTCACTTCTCCATGCATGATATTTCTGCCTTCATTCCGTCATCTTTATTTAAATATGTGGCAAAATATATTCTCTATCTCTCTAATACCTCTGCCTCCTTATCCAACATCTCATCACTTTCACTCCTAAGTCACAAGTTCATTTGCTCCCTAGGTTGTCTCAACTTATTTGTCTCTCTACAAAACTGTTTTTTTTTTTTTTGTTCTCAGAAAAAAATAGTTATTAATGTTTCACCCATTTTCCTATTTTCACTTCTTCTATCCTCCTTCGTCATTCTGTATTTTCTTCTCCATATAATCTGTATTCATTACATCTATTGTTTTTTATTGCAAAAATCATTTACATAGACTAGATTTTCCCTCGACAACCTTTTCACCTCACCGTTCCACCAATCATTTCTCTTTTTTCTCATGTGTGAAAGTCTTCTAATACCTGCTGCCTCTGCTCGCCCAACAGCAATGGTTATAACAAGGTGTTATTTCGGCTGTGATGGGCGCATCGGGCGGAGAGGGACGGAACACAACGGAAATAAGCCATATACTTGGTTATCTTGGGTTATCCTAAGCTAATAACCGTCCAGGGTTAATAAATCCCAGCAAGTCATCTTCATACTCTTCCTGCTAGAGTTGGTGACGACACGTGTCTTGTCAGAAATATAATGGGTCGTTTATCGGGTGTGCGTGTGTGTGTGTGTGTGTGTGTGTGTGTGTGTGTGTGTGTGTGTGTGTGTGTGTGTGTGTGCGTGGTGTGGTGTGTGTGGTGTGGTGTGTGTGTGTGTGTGTGTGCTGTGTGTGGTGTGGTGTGTGTGTGTGTGTGTGTGTGTGTGTGTGTGTGTGTGGTGGTGTGTGTGTGTGTGTGTGTTGTGTGTGTGTGTGTGTTGTGTTGTGTGTATGTGTGTGTGTTGTGTATGTGTGTATGTGTTATGTGTATGTGTGTATGTGTGTATGTTGTGTTATGTGTGTTGTGTGTGTTGTTGTGTGTGTGTGGTGCGTGTGTGTGTGCGTGTGTGTGTGTGTGTGTGTGTGTCTTGAAGATGACACTGGTGGGCCTCGCTATCACAAACACCGCCACCTCGCTCACTTCCTCTAAGTCTCCCAGGTCGCTCTTGCAAGTTGTTGATAACCCCAGTGATTTAGTTTGATTTAGAAAGATTGTTTGTGCGTGGTGCGAGGGTGTGTGCGTGCGTGTGTATGCATGTGTATGTGTGTGTGAGGTGCGGGCCGCTTACCCCGCCTGCTGTCTTCATTACCATTACCAATACAGAGATTATCATAGCGTGTAAACAGAGTAAATTGGTGGCTGAGGTATTACCCAGTGGGAGCCTTTGTCACGAGTCAGCGCCGCTGCCACCCACAATCTCCGCTACCTTCTTCATTTGATGCTCTCCCGTGTCCTCTTAATGTCCCATACTTGCCAAAAGATTCACGTAATTTTTGGCATCCAAATGCCGTAAAAACGCAGTCAAAATCTCTCTACCAAGTAGGCAGAATAGCATTAAGTGATGTATCCGGTATTATCTCCCTGCCAACCAATCGGGAATGTAGGTGTGTCCTCGTCGTCTGTGGTTGGCTGCCTCCGCCATTGATCCATCTGGGACTCCTCCCCTGTACCAATCAGGTGGCTCGTTTGGTGCGAGAATGGGGCGGAGTTATCTTTAAGGGGATGTGAGTAAAGTGAAGTATTTGTGAGCATTATTTGATGAGCGATACTGGTAGTCAAGTGAGCAGTTAGCGACATTATCGGGCCGCGAGTACTACATTAGTGATCGCTGCGACAGTCAGTATCCACAGCTCGTAGCGCACGGCAACACGCCACCCACCTCACCCAACCCACAACACAAACACTCACTATCAACTCTCTCTCTCTGCCGGAGAATCAGTCGAGATTTGATCACCAAACTTTGGGTAAACTTGGGTCAGGAGTGAGTGTTTCGGGACTCTGGTCAAGGAAGACATTCTGACTGTTAGTGGGAGTGAAAGTTGGGTGTTGGGCGTTGCTCTGAGGGCTCACCAGCGGTACACGGGGCGCTGGCGGCAGTTCAACTCCTGTCGCCACAAGTTTCTAAGTGAGTTTTCTAGGACTTTGAGTGGCATGCTGGAGCTGAACCAGCCACCGTCGTCGACTAGCGCGGGCGGCATGTTGTCCTTCTTATCTAACATGGACAACCGCGGCGGTCTGGTGTTAAACCCGCCGCTAGCTGCACTACACACCATGACAGATATGAAGTCCTTATATTCGCAGCAGTCCGTAAAGTCTCTCTCGCCGCAGTCGCCGCCGCAGCTCTCCCCGCAAGGACTGTCGCCGCAAGAGCTTGCGGCGTCGTACGCGTCAGCGGTCACTACAGCGAACTCAGCCACCACCACACTGGCCACTCCACACAACATAGAAAACATCCTCAACCGGCCGAGTCCGCTAGTTACCACCTCCACGGGCCTGTGTACGGTAGGCCAGATGGGTGGCATGTCCAGCCTAGGCCGACTCGGCGGCTCCATGGGCCTCTACAGCGGCCTGGCCGGCAAAATGGCAGACCTGACCCGGCCACCCTCCATTTACTGGCCGGGCGTGCAAGGAATGTTGCAGAACCCGCTCTTCTGGCGCGAGAGGATACAGTCCAGTCACGGTGAGTACCATTCTTTCACCTCACACATTTACAGTAAGTACTAAACACACTCCTTCTCCTTCACCGCCTGTTGTAGCCACTCCGTCAGCATGACGGTGGAGTGGATGTTCTTAACGGTAAGTTCCCACCGCGGTATCTACCTCGCCGCCGCCGCCGCCGCAGTCGTGAGCCAGCGCCACCGCTACAGGTGGTGTCTAGTTCATGTTTATCCAGTGAGCCAAGTTCCTTGCTACAGTGGGTGAGACCAAGAAGAAGAAGAAGCCATGGACCAACAACTACATCACATTGTTCACTCATTATCAAGTCACAACTCACTAATTATCAAAGTGATGCTGCCCAAATATGCTGCCTAATAAGCTAAACCTAATAAGCTGAACAGCAGTAAGTATAGCTTTCTCCAAAAAATTATCTAATAAATAAATAATATAATAAATAAATAATATAAATATTTATATATTATAATATATAATATTATATATATATATATATATATAATATATATATATATAATATATATATATATAATATATATATATATATATATAATATATATATATATATATATATATATATATATATATAATATATATATAATATATATAATATATATATATTATTATTAATAAAAATTAATATATATAAATAACAATATTATAACTATACATTATATATATTCCATTGAGGTTTCCACATCATGAAAGAATTTCAATAATATAAATAGCAAACCAAATACCGTCTTTAATTGATAGCATTTTTTAATAACGGTTTTCGCTCGTTTGTTCATCCATCATCATGATCTAAATGCATTACAATAAAAGTAAAGATATTTTACCAAAACTGCTTTTAAATTAGCATATATAACAATATGTTATGTATTTTGTGCGTGTGTCACAAACTATAATCATGTTTAAAAAACGTGGATAAACGTACGAAGTAGGACTGTGATTTCGGCCAGTCACTGAGGCCTTCTTCATCACATTAAAAGTGTATAACAATCACCTGATCTATATCCGATGTTTTAAGTCAGTTGCAAGAACTGACCTCAAAGTCAGGGAAGCTATGTGAACACAAGACTGGAGGAGCACTGCGGTAGGACTACTGGCCCATGCTAGGTAGGTCCTTCCCTAATCTAACCTTACAGGTTTTAACTGGCTTTATTATAGGAAGAAACTGAGCCATCTAGCATTCATAGCTCACTTCGAAATTTTACGCATATAAACTTAATGTATTATATATATACATACACACATACATACAAGGTATATTCGTAATATGAATATTAGGAAAGTTGCCACTAATTGCTATGTTGGACATCTGATGATCTATCTTATATCTAACAAAGCCCTTGTATCTATCTAGCACAGCTCTTGTATCTATCTAGCACAGCTCTTGTATCTATCTAACACAGCTCTTGTATCTACCTAACACAGCTCTTGTATCTATCTAACACAGCTCTTGTATCTAACACAGCTCTTGTATCTAACACAGCTCTTGTATCTATCTAACACAGTTCTTGTATCTAACACAGCTCTTGTATCTAACACAGCTCTTGTATCTATCTAACACAGTTCTTGTATCTATTTAACACAGCTCTTGTATCAACCTAACACAGCTCTTGTATCTACCTAACACAGCTCTTGTATCAACCTAACACAGCTCTTGCATCTATCTAACACAGCTCTTGTATCTAACACAGCTCTTGTATCTATCTAACACAGTTCTTGTATCTAACACAGCTCTTGTATCTAACACAGCTCTTGTATCTATCTAACACAGTTCTTGTATCTATCTAACACAGCTCTTGTATCAACCTAACACAGCTCTTGTATCTACCTAACACAGCTCTTGTATCTACCTAACACAGCTCTTGTATCAACCTAACACAGCTCTTGCATCTATCTAACACAGCTCTTGTATCTAACACAGCTCTTGTATCTACCTAACACAGCTCTTGTATCAACCTAACACAGCTCTTGTATCTAACACAGCTCTTGTATCTAACACAGCTCTTGTATCAACCTAACACAGCTCTTGTATCTATCTAACACAGCTCTTGTATCTAACACAGCTCTTGTATCTACCTAACACAGCTCTTGTATCAACCTAACACAGTTCTTGTATCTATCTAACACAGCTCTTGTATCAACCTAACACAGCTCTTGTATCTATCTAACACAGCTCTTGTATCTACCTAACAAAGATCTTGTATCTACCTAACACAGCTCTTGTATCTACCTAACACAGCTCTTGTATCTATCTAACACAGCTCTTGTATCAACCTAACACAGCTCTTGTATCTATCTAACACAGCTCTTGTATCTACCTAACAAAGATCTTGTATCTACCTAACACAGCTCTTGTATCTACCTAACACAGCTCTTGTATCTAACACAGCTCTTGTATCTACCTAACACAGTTCTTGTATCTAACACAACTCTTGTATCTACCTAACAAAGATCTTGTATCTACCTAACACAGCTCTTGTATCTACCTAACACAG